TCAGCAACCTTAATAACTGAAAAGTTTCTTTGGGTAAGAATCACTTTTTCTACCTCATTAAAGAAGACGAAATATTCAACATCTTCCCTATGAACTCAGTTAACTATTCCACAGCTCTGTACTAAGAATATCTGAGTGCCTCAGTTAAGCCTGAAAAAGCTATTATTTATCCTATCCTATATTTGGCCATTTAATCGTTACTGGGCTGTGTATGTAGCTATTGCAGCTCAGGAACAAGATCTTCAGACCTACTAAAGCTAGTTCTATAATAGCTTCAAAGCCTAATGCTCCATAGTGGTCAAAAATTCATTAAGAAGGGTTTAGAGAACAAAGAAAAAAACCTCCATGGCCCACGTCATCTTGAACAGAATGTGCAGTCCTGGTCCTGTCATATCCAAAAGATAATCACAGAGTAAGAAAAAGGTTCAGTGAAAGATGACAGAGGATGAAGGTTACGAAACAGCTTCACTACAAAACCTGAATGTATAGCCTAGGACTCATCAACCTGTAAAGAGAGCAATAAAGGGGACATGAGTGGCATAGAAAAGGTAAATAGAGATCAACTGTTCACCATTTCTCATAATACAGAAACTAGGGAGCATCCAATGAAATTGTGAGATGGAATCTTCAAGATAAGGATGCTGCTGCCTGTAAATCCCAGTTTAGGCATGGACCTCATGTTGCAGACAGGCAAGTCTACGAGGGTCCAAAATGTACTCAGAAAGTCACTAGACAACAATAAAAAATCTCTCCATCCAAAGCCTGAAAGAATAGCAAAGATAATTCTGCTCAGAAGTCCATGAACAGCAAATTTTCAGAGGCTAGAAGAGCACAACAGAGAACTACTACCACATGTTCTCTTATTATTACACTTTTCTTCCAATGGCTGCTATTAATAGCTACTGAAGAGTAGATAGTGGACCAGAATACAAACTGGTCCTTTGCTCTAATCCAGTGTGTTCATAGTCAGAGAACTTGCCGATGCAGTCAACAGATATATAACTGGGGAGAAACTCTTTGCAGACAATTACCCATACCTATCCCCAGATCTGCCCATTTTATGATGACTTAAGGCATCCCTTAGAGTAACTTAAAAAGCAGTGAGATGCAGAAGAGCTGTGTTAGGGGTAGAACATTCCATAAAAGAACCTTCATGCATTTGCATTCTGTGCATTTTGGCTGTAGCTTAGTGCGATTGTCCAATCTGTTCCAGATTTTACAGAAACATGTTTTTATAATTGTGAATTCTATCTGCCTACAAAGGAGTTATGATTTGTGGTCTTAACAGTTTATTCTTTATCTTCTAGAAAGACAAAGTTGTTTAACAAGTGCAAATCTTCAGTGCAGAGTGAAGACAATATGAGCATATCTCAAGAATGTCCACTATAAGTACATTCTAGAAGGGAATAAGCAATGAGGATAGAGACAAGAACAAGAAAGACTATTTGGTATTTTCCCCTATAATATAGCCCTCTGTGATGTGATCTTTTTTAATAGTTCCAGAAGATAAATGTTCACTTTACAAAGTTGAGCTAGGGTTCATCAATCTCTATGAGATTTGTGGCATATAGGATGATACATTCACAAATACAATGTTTAGGCAGTCATAGTAAGGATTCTGAGTTCCACCTTTATGTCTCACCTAGCTTGCTTTGTAGCCAAAGGGGTTTTTTAGTGTTTTTTCTAATTTCCAATTTAACTGTGTTAGAAACTTTACCAACACAGCAAGTAGTTTAATCAACAACGTTGAAGTTGATTAAATAAACTGCAATATAAATAAATCAAACTACAAACACCAAGATATCTTCCTTTTTGTAGTCTGAGAACACAGAGGATGCAGTGCCTTCACTTAATTTAGTACCATCAAACCAAAATATTAGACAAAACAGAACTACAGTTGGAACTAAATTCAAAACAACTTCAATTGCTGAAACATACCATTGAGATTTTAGACATCCGTTACAATAGCTATCAATAGGTATCAAATGTAGCATTCAAATTGTTCCATGATGATTTGAGGAGTTGGTTGGTTTGGGTCCTCACAAGCACAAAGTTTTTTATCATTGCAGAAATGAAGACTAGAAATATCTCATTACAGAGACATCATACCTTGCCACAGAAAGTGTTCATGATCCTGTTTGACTAAACTGCTCTTCATGACTGAACACATTAGGTTTTTCAGGATTCCCAGGCACGCTGACACAAATGAAGAAAGAACATATCTGCCAGAGCAGGCTGTGCTGAGCCGTCTGTACTACTGAATTGCCTGCCCCCCACCTGAAGAACCGGTAACTGCAAGGCAAGAAACAACCCTGTCTCAGTCTCCAAAGCAGCTGATGCTACCCACTGCTTCCACAAGACTTTCATGTCTCGATGAATTGGGATTTTATGATGCAATCACACTTCATAGGTAGTTTCCAATTTGTCCTAATCACAACTGACAGACTGTCAAAGACAGACAAGTCAGGCAACAAACATGCACAGCTAGAGATAGATTGAGTAGATACACTTAAATACAGGAACCAAGATGGAACTAAGTATTTATGCCAAAGGCCAATGGGTAGCCTCAAGCACCTAAATTTTACTCAACATTTTCCATTTGCTTTCCAAAGCATGCCTGAAAAACAATCACGAAACATGGATATTACATTTTATGTGTTACTATGTTATCTATTGCACTATTAGAGCACTTCTTTGGCATTGCTAGTTAACTTTGTAAAATGCTGTGAAATCTGTTCTGCGTCTGTCTCTTTATATAAAAAAAACAGCTGACCAAATTTTCTTTCCTCCTAACACTTTTTAAAGGGTAAAATAAAGGTAAAGAAGGAAAAGCAAAAATCTTACAGAAGTGATCTTAAAATTAACACGACTGCTGGAATAACAGAGTGGCATTTACACCTACTATGAAAAGATCAAATTGATTCACACAGCTAGAAAAGAAAGGCTGAAATCAGAGACCCTGAAGTCAATATTCCATTGAACCTGGAAAGATTTTGACCAAACATACCAAGCTACCCCAAAGCTCTGTTTCTGGCCATGGAGATGATGTTCTGTAATTCCTACTAGGATTATCTAACCTGTAGACAGAGTTATCTTTGCCACCTGGTAGTGCAGTGACACAAGCACAAATGATGGTCTCAAAAAAATGCTATGAATTACAGGTAAAATTACATAAACTTATTATGTCAATAAGAGCAAACTTCTCACAGTCAGGCTGAACAGACAGACCACAGAAATTACCTAGTCTTTATGAGATGCTACAGTGTCAGCAACAGAGTTAGTGGGAATACTGACTAATGGGTATATTCTGTGTATATAATTCTAGGGAAAGGAAAAATGCAAACCAAGCAAAACTCTGCCTCCAGTCAATGGAAATGCAGACTCCTACTACACTTCCTAGGAGAGAGAAAAAGAAATCCTAGTGGTAAAATTTCCACATGTGGAAGACACAGCACTGTGGTTCACTGAGAATTTTCACCTAATGTATGAAAGCAAATACCCCCCATTCGTATACGAGGCCAACAGCAAGATAACAGAGCATTACTTGTGTGATGGGAAGCAGACACCTAGACCACCGCCCTTAATACATGAGTTGTTCAGCTAATGCTTACTCATAATGAAATGGTTGCAACATGTTGCAATTTCAGATTCTGAGTTGTTTGACCAAATGCTTAATTTCCTCAAAATAAATCAATGAGAACAGCTTTGCTATTATTTGAAACTGTTTCCCAAACTGATCACCAAGAGCCATCCATTCTCTTTTCTATTGGGTATGAAAACAGATTTTACTGCTTTCAAACACATTTTCCAGTTTGGAAGACATACCATCAAGCCTAAAAGAGACCTATCTTTTGACTTGCTGGACTGGATGAGCATTTGTAAAACAAGCTATATTAACACATTATTGCAAGATGCTCAGCAGCACCATCTTTCACAGTCTATAGACCTTGAGCTTTCTGCACCATCATGAGCAAGGTGCAGGAGCTTTATCTTCAAGCCAAGTGTTACGACAACTGATTTCTTTTTAGCTTTAAATGAATATTGCAAGAGCAGAAGTAGATGAAATGGAGTATTAGATCCTAATAAACAACAAATTTATTTACACTGTTAACGCAAACCCGTGTAAACGTCCATAATGTTTCTATTTGAAATCTTACTACTACTGAAACAAACATCTCAGTAAAACATACCTTTTTTTCTGTAAAAGAAAAGTAATTAATCACAACCTATTATTTCATGATATTCTTATTTTAATTGCAATCTTATTCTACCTATATAAAACTTTCAGTAAGTGCATCTTATTCAATATTTTACCATCTCATGTAGATTTAAAACACAGCTAATAATCACCATCTCCCATCTGAATACTTAAGTGTATAGCTCAGGCCAAAATAACCTCCATTTCCTTAAGGGTAATTAAAGTATTTAAAAAATACAACTAAGTAAGTTATTTTTTTATTTCTGTTTTTATTTCAGTTTTTTATTTATATCTGATCCACTTGCCAGAATTTTGCAAAGAAACAGATCTACAAACATTGTTAGTTAACAGGTGTTCAGACAAAAACCTCCTGGTTTATTGGCCATCCCACAGAGGGACTAGAACTAATTGCTCTTAGCAACAGCTAGATTAGCTAGTAAGTAACCCAAACAGCAGATTAGTCAGATGAATGCTTAAGATGTTTTTTATTTCTTAACTGCCTCCTCTCCCAACACCTATATGGTGTCACATCTGTAATGTAGTGGGAGAAGGGCAAATGAAGCAACACCAGCAAGAACACAGTTACTATTATCCTGATAGTGCAAATATAAGGACCGTTAGCACTTCAGAAAGGGCTAGGGAAGGTTAAAGATAACAGATCTGTAATTAGGACAAAAAAAGTACGATGCTTTAAAAAAAATAAATTACAACAATCACAAGGAAGTTTAAGCACTAAGGTCAACAACACAGCACATTCTGTTGAATATTTTATAAACTTAAAAATTAAATATTAATTACCAACCTTAATGCCAAAGTGTAGGTTCCAGGTTGCCGTTGGCTTTCACGAATGAGATAGCTTCCCTCTGCAACACTTAATAATTGGTCAGCTTCCTCCCTTGAGATCATCCCATGGAATCTAAGGAACAAAGACCTTTAAAAACACATGCCTTTTCACTTTTAAATCACCTTTCCTCTTCTTCTAAAAACCGCCAACCATGGTAATTAAAAAAGAAGCAAACATAAAAATGACTGATTTGCAGGAATCTACAGCTTAAATTAATCTCCCTTTCTACCCGCACTTGCGGTCACTTTAAATAGTTTAGAAAGGCTTCTATGAGACAGTATCTATGAAACAAGTATATTGCTTTTTTAAATCTGCTTTTATCAATCTAATCTGTAGAAATAAGCCCATTTTCTCCTGCTGGCTTCACATGTTTTGCACCAGTGCCATGCAATCCAGCATTTTGCAGCATCAGGGATATTATGGCAACTTGCTAAAAGCTTAGGGATTACATATAAACTCAGTAATTACTGGTGTAATAACCCAGCAACATTACACACCTTTTACCAAAATACACACAAGTAAAATCTGCTTTGTTTCCCCACACTCTATCTAACCATCTTTGCCTTAGCAATCTGAAATTGAAGATGTATATACTGTACGCTTATATTGCATTTGTGATCCAAATCTTCTTTTTCCCCAGCACACAAACACCTTTTGCAAAAGCCAACTGGAGGGGGAGGTAGACAAAGAAAACCCTTTGGAGGAACAGAAACATATGCTTCTCTCACTTAAGGTAGCACTCGATATACATATCCATCAGAAACTGCAGGCGTAATTTTAGACAGACAAAAGTGATGGTACTGCAATAATAATCTGATGGTGAGCAAGACACACTGCTGTAAAACCTAGAGAAGAAACAAAGGGCCCAGAGCAAACACTTGTAACCTGTTCTGTACCTATTATCAACCAACATGTCCGGATAAACCACTTTCAGAGGTGTGTGTTACTTACTCTCTTCCATAATATTTGGGTCTGTTCTCTACCTAGAAGAAACAACAGAAATTGTAATGTTTTATAACAACTGAATCCATACACAAAGTATACTGTCCATAACATAGTATTAAAAATGGAAAGGCATGTAATGTGAAAGTAGAGATGAAAATCATCTACTATCTCAGGATTCTCCCTGTGTGTAGAATATAGGGAAACCAAAGGTAGACCTTTGGGAAACACTGCACTTCTGAATGGCTTAAAACAGAGTGAGAAAGAATGAGACGCTTGGACCATGTCATCCTTGGGGCTCTGCTAATGCAACCTGATGGCATTAAGTATTGCCTGTCCAAACTGCCAAAAAGGGGAAATGAAAGATTCATTTCATGGGTGTCAGTGTACTATACTTTTTAAGTGTACTAAGAAGCGAAACATCTATAAAACTTAAATTTACAAATTATTTTCTATCACAGAGCTGGTTGTGCCACTGCTGCGAGCAATCAAGCCACTACCATATGGCCTTAGAGCGAGGCCCCAGTCTTGCACTTCTTGACTTCACTAAACTGTCTCATCTGTAGTATCACCTAAAAGACCCCAACAACAGGTATGCATGTGTTTACACCCTACAGTGTAAATGCACACAACATGCAAAGGTGTCAGAACACAATTTGCCTGCTAGGTATTTCAGATGAAGTAACTTGTCTCTAACTGGTCAGCAAATTTAGAGACAAGTGAGGAACTGCAGACCTCCCAGAATTATCCCTCGTTGCTAAACTTAAAGGAGGAAACTCTGTGGGGAGTAAAAGTCAACAATTATACAACCTAAACTGCAAGAATATGAAACATACAGCTATAATAAAACATACAATACAGGAAACTACCACCCCAGTTTCTTTTTTCTATCTTTTCAGAAAAAAGTCTATTAAAATCAGTGCTTCTCTCCAGTTACCTCAGTGGAGATAAAGATTTCACATGTCCAAAACAACAAAAAGTACATCCTGGTGTACAGTCTAATAAACATTCTTCCCCATCCCCAACAAATAAAAAGCTATTGTGACAGTTTATCACTTTAAAAAAAATCATTCCATCACTGGAAAGATTTATAATGTTTTAAAAGATTTCTTTTCCCTATGTAACAGCAAACAAGATCTGACCAGTACGATAACCGTCTTCAAAGGACCTGAAGAGACTGGATCATTTCAAAAGACAGAAAAAGTCTGATACACTTTTTGTTAAATGTAGGCTATTTCTTCAATAGGAAGATAGCAGCATGAATGGAGAAAAAGTGAAAACACTTTACTGTTATAGGAACTTGCAACAATTCCTAACGAAAACCCTCAAGACAAGACACTAGCCTGAGGCAGCTATTAAAAAAAAAAAAAAAAAGAATCCTGTAGTGAACAAGATTTTGCTGTCTGTCTATAGAGGTTTTTTATTTATCTCAGTGAATACAGTGAATTTATGTGACTGTCGTGGTTTAAGCCCAGCCGGCAACTTGGAACCATGCAGCCGCTCGCTCACTCCCCCCCTTTTCCTTCCTCCCCCTGCTCCCGGAGGGATGGGGAGGAGAATCAGAGGAATGTAACTCCCACGGGTTGAGATAACAGCTCTCCAGTAACTAAGGTATAATACAAACCACTACTGCTACCAATAATAATGATAAGAGGAATAACAAGGGAAAAGGACACAACCGCTCACCACCCGCCGACCGATACCCAGCCCGACCCGAGCAGCGATCTGGGCCTGCCGGGTAACTCCCCCCAGTTTATATACTGGGCATGACATGCTGTGGTATGGAATACCCCTTTGGCCAGTTTGAGTCAGGTGTCCTGTCTCTGCTTCCTCCTGGCTTCCCCTCCTCCCTGGCAGAGCATGAGACTGAGAAAGTCCTTGGTCAGAGTAAACATTACTTAGCAACAACTAAAAACATCGGTGTTATCAGCATTGTTCCCAGGCTGAAAGTCAAAAACACAGCACTGCACCAGCTACTAAGAAGGAGAAAAAATGACTGCTATAGCTGAACCCAGGACAGTGACAAAACTGGAAAATCTATATAGGCAAAAGCATTCCATTTTGGAAATGGATTAGTAATGTGACAGGGCACCTTCAGAGTACTTGCAAATCCTAAGACAAACTATAATATTATACTCAGTGTACGAACACTTGAAAATGTGAACTGCCAGATGACTGGAGCAAAGCATCAGAGAAAAGCTCTGCTGGACTTCCAAGGCAATTGTAGCTGGGTTTGCATTTCATCTTGGTGGATGACGAGTTAAAGAGGAAAATAACCACTTCTGTTAACATTGAGGTTTTACTTCAGTTTTACCAGCTCACAAAATCTTCAGTACAAATGTTGATGTATACCACTATTTACTTGTATAAGATTCAGTGCAACTCAAGCCCCAGTTGATTTGGGGAGTGAATGGAGTTTTATTGCCCATTTTTTGGTGTTTGGGGCTTTTTTTTTTAAATAAACTTTTTAGATTCATGATATTAGGGTTTTCTGACATCTAGACTGAATAAATACATTTAGACTCTAAGGCAACTCCATCAGAACTCAGTAGGAGCCTTCTAATTTGCTCAGAATTAGCTGGGCTACAAACACACTCAGTGCAGTCCATGTGGACTTAAAAAAACCACACAGATACACTGCTTAAACCAGATTTACCATGTAAGACAGTAAACACTGTTCTCCAGCTTTCTATAATGCTTCCTACAAGTACTGTCACACCAACTTTACTCATAGCAGCTTAGGCATGAAAAGCAGCACAGCATTTGTTCTTACTTTAGGTATCCATAACTGCATCAAAACCAGAAGTGAGATGCAGTTTTCTTGGTCTTTTGCAATTACCTGGGCTTCACAAAGTTCTTGCCAGGCTGTTATTTCTACAAACTACAATTGCAGGCACCCACGTATCCTCTGTGGGTGCGCACTGAAAGCCAAAACAGTTTGGTTCGGAAGCTTCAGTAGCCTTTTTACACTCAGTCAGCCTTAAGGACACAAAACCAAAATACCCATTTGGACTGGAACTAAAACCTACCTAAGAAAGGAAATATATATTTTTAAACAAAATCAAAAGCAGTAGCAAGAAAATGTCATTTTAACTAAAGCTGTTAGCTGAAAATACAGTGTAATTATCCTCTGCAGAGTTTTATTCTGATTTGGCAGTATTTTTGGACTAAAGTATTGTTGACCATGAGTAAAGGCAGCCTCAGCTACTTAATTTTCTCTGTACCCAGCAAAGATCAGTTAAATGCTAAGTCCTTTGACTTCACAAGACTTTTTACTTATGGGAAAAATTTCCTCTTTGTTTAACCTATGCTTGGCACAACTTCAAAAATGGCTTCTAACTTAGGGGAAAAAAAAAACCCAACCAAAAAACCCCTGAAATATTTGTTTTAAATGTGCTTATTTGTATAGCACTGATGCAGAAGCCACAGGAAAGATTCAGGTCTCGCTCTGATTCCTGCAAGAAACCCAAAGGTCAATGAGATATCCACCATTGTCTCATTTCTGACTGAGGTGTGAAGCCAATGAAACCAAATTTATGAACAGATAAATGGGGCAGACATAGCAGGTCCCTTAGAGTAGCCATTGCTTTGGGAAAGAGCTTAGTTAACATGAAAGGTGATAAGTCATCTTGGTTGAATTCATACAGATAAAGTCATCTTTGAGAACAGCTCTAACAAGGATGTGCAGCATATCACAGAATGGTTCGGGATGGAAGGGATCTTAAATATATGTGCTCATCTACACTATGTTTCTTGACTACTCAACAGAGGACATTTTCACAAGACTACACAGAGATGCTGTTTAACAGGCTTGTTAACTACTAGCACTGAATTAAGATGAAGCCTTACAATAGGACAGAAAACGCCAGTGATTTTAATCATCTCCATCATTTGCCTGTTTGATATTTTTTTCCTACATAGGTAAATTTTTTCATGGAGTGCCTTCATATAGCATCAAGGATGCCTTACATAACCTTGCACATGCACACATGTGTATATAAAAAATTCTATGCACAACAAATTCCATTGAGATAATACAGTATTACTTGTACAAACAACATCACAATTTGGATGCAAGCCTCATGCAGAAGTCAAACATCCTTAGAATGTTATGGAATCATCAACTTTACAAATTAACCTCACAGAGTGTTAAAAGCCTTAGCTCTGCTGCACTTTCACAATAAAAAGCTCAAACGAATGCAATGCTCTCTTTATGTCAGTGTACTCCACTGATTTGTGTGTTGCTCTGATATGAAGCTGGTGTAACAGAGCAGAAACTTGAATTTTCTGTATTTGAAAAGCATTTCATGTTAAGTAGGTCATTCTGTTGAATACCCCTCTCACTATCAGGACCTGCAGAACGCATGCCTTTGCACCTTAAATAAAAGCTTGGGGGTTTTTACAGTGTGATTTCCAATTATTCTTTACCAAGTGTTTTTTCCCCTAATCATCACTCTTGCTTATGTCAACAAGTGGAATACAATAAGGCAAGAGGAGCGATTTACGTGCTAATACCTTATCAAATTACATGTTGCTCCCTCCCACTGACCTCTCTGATGTTCTCTGGGCCAAAATTATCTTCATAATATTTATTAATTTGTTTATACAGCTGAATAATTCAACCACTTAGGAAAAGATTCCATTCCCCACTGACTCACACATGGCTCCTAATAGAAACCCAGCTGAGAAAGAGCAGATCACAAAGCTCAACACCAGCAGGAGAGGCTGAGACCAGAGAGAAAGGTTAAACATGTTACTGCTCGCTGAATATATTTTCTCTTCAAATCTGGCTCAGCTGCATACATTGTTCAATACTTATAATGAAGAACAGTTTTCTGCATTGCAATGAATTAACGTAGAAGTAGGGAAATGTACACGTTTAACATTATTTCAATTTTACCTTTATTAATAAGCTTCAAAAAGCTTATTAAAATAAGCTTCAAAGACTTTTGTTTTTCATTTAAATAGATTCTTTAATGAGAAAACGTGCATTTAATATGCTCCGCTCTGCACCTATATACCTGCAGCAGACTGATTCGTTCATAGCTCCATTCTATTTAGTTCAATTCTCGCTGATTTCTAAAACCTGTAGCTTTTATTTCTCAGCTTCTACAACAATGTTCATGGTGCAGACACAGGTTTACTCTGCACAATTCAAGAAGCTATTTTAAAACACAGAATGTCTCTCTTTTTTGTTCACTCTGGCACAGCAAAGTTTTACACTTAGTTAAAGTTTGTCATATGTTATAGTCTTGTTTTGGAATAAATTCACAGAAAGACGACTTTATAGAAACTACTGTGTTGCATTTCTTTCTTCAGTGATGACAGGACTTAGTAGAGTGTTTAGATTGCTTGTGGTAATTTTGCCAATCCCCCATTGACTCCAACAGACTACCTGTATATAGAACTAGACCAGGAGGACGTCTCTGTGTAGGCATGCAGTAAGCTCAGACACCCTCCAAAGAGCCTGGATTATTAGTTCATGCAGGACACCACACTCTCACAGCAAATTTACCTCCCTGAAACAGTCCAACTTCCCAATTTGCCACCTGTATAATAGTTAATAAGATTTATTAATTCACAGTATTAAAATTCAGTGATAATGAGGATGAGAAAATTATAGTGGTCAGTGTGGTTGATTTTGAAGAAGCTTTACACAGATGTTTTTATATTTGGCTGGTAAGAGTAGGTCTGTTTGATTCTAAAAAGAGGGCAATCTGGATCTGATCAATAGCTGAAAGATTTCCAACACTCCAGAGGTAGCAGGATTTTTAATTTTCAGATCCTGAATACACATTTATATCTCTGCTGGTTTGCTTGGATAGGCTAATGGTATTCTAAGAAATACTATGAAGGAGAACTCAGGATAAAATTTGTTCATGACTTCATATTACCTAGGGCAGAAAGACCCAAAGCACTTCTCTGCAGTCAAACTAGCATGAGATATAATGCAAACAGACCTTATTGAATATGCTGGACCCCTTCATCAGCTTACATTTTCTCCCTGACTACAGGGTATGTATGCAATCATGCAGCTGACATGCAAAGCAATTGCAATTGTCATCTGCTGTAAGATTTTCTTAACTGTAGTTGCACTTTCCCTCCTCTCCTTATATTTCTATTATGGGGTTTTTTTGTTGTTTATTTTGTTTGTTTGTGGTGGGTTTTTTTTTGGGTTGTGTTGCTTTGTTTTTGTAGCCAAAAGGTATGCAGAAGAATAAAGGTTCTAATCCTGTAAGAATTAAAACATTCACAACTGACACTCTCAAAGATTCTAATTGAAGAAACTGAAGAGTTGTCGCTCATCACCGCAAGAGCCAGGCAACTTCATAAGCATACAGTGTAAGCCTGTCACTAGATGAATACAGCAGGGCTCTGAAATAAGACTCAGCAAATAAAAGACTACAGTGATTGCACAGTATAATGTCAGCACCTCAATGATCAGTGTCAGAAGGCTACCAAAAATCCCTCATACATTTTACCATATGCATATATACACATACCTACACACAAACTAGCACTTCTTCCAGCAATGAAATACTTCTGAGGAAGGGAAAAACAACTATTCAACAGCACTTAACAACAATAAACACAATCCTTTAGAGGCAGGGAATAAAACACTTCATCCTATCCAGGCGAGCACTCTGTACAATCTCCGTACAATCACAAACCTGTATTCTAAGACCAAGCTCCTACAAGACTTAAGATACTTTGTATATTAATGTAATGAAAAATCTTATCATAGGGAACACACAAAATAGAAGAGAACCTTCCTAATAATGCTGCAATGGGAGCAAAAAAAAAAAAAGGAAGACCCCCCCATTTTTCAGAGCTCAGATTGTACCTTCTATAGATGTCTCCTTCCTATCTCCATCTTACCTTATTTGATGTAAGATGTCTATACAACAATACCCCTGCTTGGACCCTTATTAACAGTAGAAACGCTGGTTAAACCAAATTTTTTTTCTACAATGCTTCTTGTAAAATTCACGTATTGTTCTTTACTACAGCTATGTCTTGCTTAAGTGCTATCAGCTATAGCTATACCTTTTATAAAATACAAATCTATCAAATTAACAAAGAAAAACGAGTGCTTCCACTAAAATCAGTATTTTACTTCTGTTAAATTTCTACTTTTTATCTTAAAAATTGACAGACTACTTCATAGAATCTCATTTGGGCATTTGAAAAGATGACAGAGAAATGCCTGTTCAATTCTGTAAAGTAATCCTCCTTGTGATCTAGATGGTAAGCTATTAACGTTCCTGACAGTGCTATGTCCCCTGTATTTAATACTACATCAAAGTGACTAACATATTTCAAAGATTAATTGCCTTTCTCCAGCACATGATAAAAATGCTTAAGTTTTATTGCAGCAATGTAATAACTTTCAGTGGTTATTCAGTAAGAGCTGTGTTTTGTAATACTGTTTAACAAGTCAAGCCTAACATTTCAGCATTTTTGAAATTGAAATTAATGTTTCCCAGGTTCCTAACTGAAGCTGCAAGAGAGATGCAGTTATGAGTAAAATCCTGCTGGCACTGATGTTTGGTATGAGTTAAACCCTCCAGCACCACAGGTCTGGAGAGCTGCTGCTCTGCTGGATGGTAGCTCAGAACACACTAGCAATCTGGGGTCTGCCTCAACAACTGACCCCATGAGCAGGTTATTCTCAATCACCGTATACCAATGGGATCCCATTGTTCCTGTTTGGATCTTTAAAATTTGTGGCTCTGCCTAGCTTACCTCCTAGTATTAATGAGTCTTCAGTACTACAACTCAAATAACAGCAGCAGGGGAGGTTTCAGTCTTCTCTTTGCTGCTTTATTGCAGGAATCTAGCAGCAATGTGTGTATGAATAGGTGCATAGTTCCCCTGTACAGGTCTGCTCTTGCTTCTTTGAATTTCTGACCCCCCCAGAAGACGAAAAAAGGCACGCTTCCATATATCTAGGAATCATAAACCAGTAAATTATTCTCAGGTGTACACATCATATGCAAAATGCTTTGTAATTGGATTTTTAGGTTGAATGGCACAAGTACTCCCAAGGCTACTTAGTCTAATCACAGCACCAAGTATTCCAAGGAACCACTGTTTGGGTTGGGCACCATTAAGTACAAACTTGGAACCACTAGACTCTGTAAAACTGAACATTTGTAATACTCACCTCGCGAGTGCAGGTTATCCTTCTAGGATGGGGAGCTTCCTGTTGCAACTGATACACTGGGAGAAGGCATAAGTTAAATTCTAGTTAATACAGAATCATTGTATAAGGCATTTTAATATTAAATATTGCTGTTTAAATAAAGAAGACTTTCTACAAGATTTAATGCAAAAATACATCTATCAAAAATTACAAGCTGACAGAAAAAAAGAATGTTGCTAGCCAAAACAGGATTATAGATTATCTTTACAATTAATTGATCAAGTTCTATGGAGTACGTAGGTAAGACCAGTCAAATTTCCATCAAGTAGACAAGAAAAGGAATCATGATAAATGCAAATTAAATTTCATCAGACGTCAAATCAGGCTGCTGTCAGACTGTCTTCAGTAAGCAGATGGAGTCCCATCCTACAATGCTGGGCACATGCTCAGTCACCTGAAATATGTAAGGACATTACAAGAATGACTCAAACCCTGGCCTTTTGCCACTGCTCAATGATGACCCTTCTGAACAAAGAGGAAAGCGGCCTTTTCATTTGCAGATCTAAACACATCAGGAGTTGAGTAGCAGATCAGCAGAGTAAAAAAGTTCAGGCTCAGATTATGACATATATTTACTAGTATCTTGTCCCCCCTTTTTCTTTTTTTTTTTAAATAAGCCTTATCAAGCCAGAAGAAATCTTAGGAGCCAGTTGTAAATTTAATGGAACTAATGCGCAAACTTTCTAATACAACACCAGAGGTATTCTATCTCAAAAAGAGTTTGGTTTGGCAAATCTTCAAAATGAAGCTGTCAACACTAAGGTAGTATTTGAATAGTACTCTAGAACTGATAAAATGGACATCTGGAACTGTAATCTTTTAAAAGCAAATTATGTTTTAATCATTAGTCCTAACACCAAGTTCTAATAACATGTGCTGTTGAACCTTCTTCAGGTAATAAGACCACATGTTTATTTAACCAATAAGATTTTACTCCATTACACTTCTCATATGACCACAAGTCTTAGTGATGAATGCTGTATTCATGTGCTAAGTTACATGAGAATAGAGAAAATGGCAAGATGCTCAATGATATGGCAATCATAGGATAAACTGGAAAAATTCACTCTTTTCGTTCCAAACAAAAACCCTAATGTTTTTTGCTGATGTTATAAAATCAGTCCTTGCCGTTCTGTATTGATATTATAAACATTATTTTTGCAAGTGACAAAGAACAGCACACTAGAATATAAAACAGTAATTTCAATTTCAAGCATAGCATGACCATTTATTTTGCCAGCAGACAGATTCCATAGCTTCTATTGTAAAAGTCATTTGATGACACTGGGCCTTGCCCGTATCTAACTCGAGAACTGTAGAGTCAAGTTCAAAGGAAAAAAATTAAAATACAAAGCAAACAGAGATTTCTCTGAATCCCACAGAACAGAGGTG